CACACACACACACACTCTGTTTGTTAACTCTATACTTGTGAGGACGGTTCACTGACTTCTTTCATTCTGAGCTGAACCTGACTTTAACTTCATTTACAGGCCTTAACTTGAAACCCGGGTCTTAACCCTTAAACTGAACCTTTATTCTGACCTTCAAATGACTCTTTCTCTATTTTAGCCTCACACATTTGGAAGTCAGTTTGAAGTTAAGCTTTACATTGATTAGGCACCAAAACCCCACCTTTTTTCTGAGCTCTCTGAGGGAATGTGTGTGGAATGAGAAATCTTACAACAACTTAATGTGATCCTTAAAAACAAAATTGTTGGCCTAAATGTTGTTTTTGTGCTTCAGGGCTTTTGTGAGTGTTTTAATAACCTAATTTAAGGTTTATTTAAGTCTGCTGTCCTTGAATTTTACAAATAAAAAGAAATTTGAGGCACTAGATTCAGAGATTTAAAGAACCCAGAGTTTCTTCTGGGGATTGGGTTTGAGATGTGATCACCATCTACAAAAACTAAAGTATAGAAAACTCTGGTTGAAGGTCTGGAGCCTTATCTACTAAATGTACTGAAAATCTGAATTTGGCTCTCTTGGCAGTTCAGTTCTAGTTTTTTAAACAGTATTCAAACCTATTTATTCTTTAAAGGAATAGTTTGACGTGCTTTCTTGCAGAGAGTTAAATAAGAAGATAAGGTCATGTAGTATACAATTTAAATGAAAGCTAGTAAACATTAAATGCTGGAAATCAAGTAATCACACAAGATGCTGGAAATTGTGTTTTAATCACACATAATAATAGAATTAGAGTCAGAGAGCACTATTAGACCACTAAGTTTTAAGTAAAGATGATACTGCGATAGCACACTATTAATGAAGTAGTAAGCACCATGGTTTTAGTGAAAGTTTGATTTGATGTGTAGAAAAATATTGAATGTGTAGTTGTAGCAAGAAACTAGTAATGTTTGTACTAAAAGTATGTGAATGATTGTAACACAAGCTTCTTGTCATATTATAAAGTTTATAAAGTTTTTAAAAATACAGTAAAAGACATCTGTGACATAATGGTGTAAGAAAGTGGTAAAAAATAAAAGTACAGCAAAATAGATTTTAATGGTGTAAACATGGAAAAGAAGGGCAGAGAGAAAAGGTCTTGGCGCACTGCCGAAGGCCAAGAAGCCTGCAGGGTTACTGATAAGAGAGCACAGGACCAAGCAGGTGTGAGATGGCTTAACTGGCCACAGACAAGACA